CCCAGGGAAGTGGTTGAGTCACCATCCCTGGAAGTATTTAAAAGACGGGTAGATGAGGCGCTTAGGGACATGGTTTAGTGGGCATGGTGGTGTTGGGTCGACGGTTGGACTCAGTGATCTTAGAGGTCTTTTCCAACCTTAATGTTTCTATGATTCTATATCACGGATTAATTATATGTATGTTGGATGGGGGCAATTTAATCAGACACTGCTTCTTTCTGTAGAATCATGGTACCTGTTCTCTGTGACGGATATGTAAAAGGGCAATAAACGACTGTCTGCTGGCTAATTTAACAGCTAGAAGTGATTAAAATATACAGGCATGCAGTTTCCCTCTTGTTCTGTAGGTGGCACTCTTGAACTGCTGCCTGAAACTTGTGAAAGACACATGAAGCTGTTCGTGCATTTGTGTTTAAGGTGAAGGCTAAAACGAACTGGGTGTTTAGTTCTGTGAAGGAAAGATTCTTGAACTTCATTTCATATGAAGTTCAACTTCAATATCGCAGTATAAATTTTCATTTTGTATGAGCAGAAATGCAACCAAGTTTTATGAACTCCCTTATTTTAAGTAATTTTTGCTATACTGTTTCTTTTTTTTATTTGAATTCTTCTCTTCTGCTCCCCAAGTAAAGGACTACTGAGAGAGCACACCACAGCATCATCAACATAAGATAGGTTAGCATTAGTGAAGATTACTTTGTACATGTAGATCAGGATGTGTCAGCTGAGCTCTGCTGTGAGAGTTTGTTTTTTCTGCCTGGACAGAGTAAGAGCACAGCCAGTTATAAGTATTAATGGAAATGTAGTGTAAGGGCATAATTTCTGAGTCCCGGAGAAGCAAGTGAGGGCGCAGGAATAGCGTGTGACTGTATTGTAGTCGGTAGGAAAACCTTCATTCACTTGTGTGAAAATAGGATTTCATCTTTTTGATGTTGAAGAACTGAGAAAAGGAAAATAATTCTACATAAATTGTAGTTAAGCTTGTATTTTGGTAGTGAATCATGATCAGATCCTAAGTTTGATACGTACTTTGTAAGAGTACAGAGTTTAGCACTGTCTTGTATTTCTTGAGGGGTAGGGCAGTTCTAGTAAGCTGTCAGAAGTAATCAGGTCTTCAGGAGAAAAAAATTGGGTAGGTGGTTCTTCCTATCCTAAGGCTAAGCAAACAGGCAAACTCCACCCCCACGTGCAAACTGTTTTGCCTAGCAGAACTTGATACCACTGTTTGTGGCCAGCCAACTGTTGCATGTACAGATTAATTGTCTATGCATGTTTCATTTATGAACAGTATTTTTGTTTTTTTACCGGGACTTGAAAAATTACATGATGTTTTTCAATATGGCAAATGAACCATTAGAAATTACTTCATCATTTTTATTTTATTTTGAGGATCAAACATACTATTTAATGTTAAGCCGATCAAAGTTATGCCTCATGCGAATCATGTCTGTTAGTGACACATCCAGGACTGTCTTCCAGTTGAAATGCAATATGAATGGCACACCTAACCAGTATCAGTAAATTTTAAATTCCACTTATATATTTGCCATACAGCATGTGTAGCCTTTAAAAACATTATAATTTTAAGATAGCTTGTTCCTTTCATTAAGACTATAACTTACACAGCTTTGTTCAATGAAATCAAGGTAAATAAGAAGTTGTCTTGGTGGTCTTTGCATTTCAGAAGATTCTTATGATTCTGCTTTTTTACAGTAGTACATGAAAGGGCTGTCAACCCTGGGATTTTTGTTTGTTTTTTTTTTAAGTGTGGAAGAGTACTGTAGTTCTTTATTTTGGCAGTATCATGACTGCTTCTAGGTTATTGTCTTTGGGATTCTATGCTGTAGGTACCTGGAGTTCACGGATTATGTTGATAAATTGTTAAAGGTTCAGAAAAGAGCTAAGATGATCATGATAGATTGGGGTATGTGTCTTGCAGTGTCAAAGACCTCAGTCTTGCTTCTCAGTCCTTGGGTAAAGAGTGTGTATTTGGTCAAACAGGAATTGATTAAGCATTTTCTGAGTTAATTAGTTTGAACTAGAACATCTGTTTGGGAGGAGGAGTGGGAAGAGAAACTCCAGGGGAACTTGTCTTACAGCCTGCATTATTTGAGGCTAAATTGTCAAGAGTAAAATCTCAGTGTTCCCTGCTGACTTTATAATGAATGAATATCATTTAGCATTGTTGAATTTTTGTTCCTTATGGGGAGATTTCCTTTGATGCTTTAGAGATGTAATGTGGATTGCAAGGTTCACACCAGAAGCTTCCCAAAAAACAAATTATGTTGCAAACTTTATAGGTTCTGTGTCTTTTAATATGATATTATTGTAGGAGTATGAAAAGTAGTATGATATGGGTGTTGGAGATACACAAGAGCCTTTTTTTATATATATTAAAAGCTATACTGAAAATAATATGTTTCCTTGACAGCAGTTAGCTGTTTAGTAATTTTCCTGGCATTGCAGTTTATTAAGGTTGTATGACAAGAATCAGAAAACTGCACAATAATTTTAAGAAATTATTTCTCTCGGTGTGAGGGTGTGTTTTGTTGGTTTTGCTTGGGTGTTTTTTTTCCTTATGACTTCCCTTTAGGAGTGGGAAGCTTACAGAAGAGTTAGGCTTCAGCAACCCAGACATTTCCATCAGTCTTGCTTGGTTTGTTTCTTTATAGTTCTCTAATTTCAGAAGGATCAATAAAAATACTCTAAGTATCATCGTTTTCCAGTTGAGGCTTAAGTTACTAGGCTTTTTTTGAGAAGAAGAAACTTCAGTTACATTATTGAGGTGGGGGTGGAGGCATAATGGTTTTTTTGCAGGTTTTACTGTATGGTTTAAGACGATAAAAATGCAGAACTTTACTTGAAGACCTAATTTTTCTAATATAAATTGTGATTTCTCAAAAGCTATAATTCTCCTTATGGTGATGTGTGGGAGGATGTGTTTTATTTAGGTTTTTTTACTTAATGTTTTTAAAATTTGATTTTTGGTTTATTCATTTTGGTTTAGAAATGTTATCCATAACAGTAAAAAAGTATTAAAGTATTGCCTGTGTGTATAGTACTGTCTACTGTGAGTGGGTTTTTTTTATATTAAAACAAAGCTGTTTTTCTTTCAGGCTTTCCTCTGTTCTTTTCTCATCTTCATAAAAGAAAAAAGAATGGAAGGCATGTTATTCTCTCTGAGCACAATGTTCAGCCTTTACCAACAAAATTAAAAAAGTGAAAAAGGAAAAATTTTCCTTCTTGCTAATTCTGAAGTTAAGGAGGCTTGTACTTACATCTCTGTTATTTTCTAACATCTTAATAAAGTTACTATGACTTGTAATTATGAGCCCCCTTTTCTAAATGTGATAAGTTTGACATCGTGAAAACTATTCTTAAAAGAAAAAAGGCCAAATGTGAGTGCATTGTGCAGATTGTGAGGATAACTGGCATTAGTTTTTTGTTTAAAAAAGAATTTTAAAAAATATGCACTGGAAACCTAATCCAAATACAAGTCTATGAAATTCTCTCTTTAAAGTAAGAACAACCCTGGAACTTGCTGGATTATTAAAGTCTGATTTGTACGGGTTTTTTTAGTCAATGGGAATTCTTTGGGAATATAAGTATTTAATTGTGAGTACTTTAATTTTTTTTGCGATAACTTTAATAGCAATCTAGCAATCTCCTTATGAGTACCCCTTTATATATTTTAGTAGTAAGATGGACAAGTTAGGCCCACCACTGCGAACTGGAAGAGATGTGCAAAGGTTTTATGACACTGATACAAAAACAGACAGTACCGTCAAAAGACCAAATGAGTTGTTGCCTATAAAGAAGTAAGTATTACAAATCAGCGTGGTTTATCTGTTTTGCAGAAATGTTCCTACAAAGCATTGGAATAGTAAAAGTGTGACCTTGACAGACATCTGCTGCCCAGTATGTCTTCAGTATAAATGCTGTGGGACAAGAGTATATAATATAATAAGTACCTGTTTCATCCTAGGTAAATAGCTTTATGGTAGGGCAGGAAAGATGAAGACTTTTCTCAGATTTGATTTCTTCTGTCACTGATTGATTATGGGCTGAGTAATGAACTTCTGTCTTTGTAAACCTGAGATAAAACTGAATTTGCATGATGTAAAGCTGAAGTAAGCATTTAAGCCTGATAACTGTACAAATATCTGCCTTACAGGCAAATGTTTTGAGAGAATAAAATTACTTTGTCGTGAAGTCAAATATTTATCTCTCTCTTACTTCTGTAAGATAGCTGTGGTGGTCCAAGAACGTAAGCCAGGCAGACTTTCTAATGAGAGATAAAGTCTTTTATTAAGTCCAACTTATCTCATATAAAGACTTCTGAATATTCATCAAGTTTAAGATCTAAGTTTAGAAGAAAGGGTATTCCAATCTTTTAAAAAGGAAATAGATACTATATTGTAGTTAACCCTTTGATATAATTTGGAAGATGCCAAATTCAAATGGGCTGATTCTACGTAAACAATACCTTAAAGCATATTGCGAAAGAGAAATTAGTAATGAATTATATGGCACATACATGGAATGTAATACTTTAAATAGTAGAAATGTGTCTAAATCTCTTAATGTTGTTTTGTTGTTGTAACCAAAGCTGAATTATCTTTGAGACAGGGCCAGAATGTTTGAACTTGGGTTTCTATTTGAAGAAGCAAAAGGGATGAAAGGGGGGGAGCTTTTTTTAGGCAAACAAATCTTTTTGTTGTTCCTCTGTATGTTTGGTTAGAGCTATAAATCCTGTGAACCATGAAAAATTAGGTCAGTTTTTCATTTTACAATACATTACCAAGATGTTGAAATTGTGGCTTAATGAATTACTAAATGTGCTTACAGTAGCCCCTATCCACAGAGCAGTAGTTTGATTTTTCTTCTTGAGAGAACTTCTTAAAGACTATAGGCACTTACTCTGCTGCTTCTGTTCTTATGCAAATGTCCACTGAGTTAATGAATTAAATCTGCCTTCCTTGCAGGAGGTTATTCAATATGTTATGTGCCAACAGCACTGGACAAATGTGAATAGCTACCGGACATTTTTAAATTCAGCATAGCAATGTGGAAGATTACAGTTTATGGCAAAGGCTTCTGAACTTTGGCATGCATGCCATTAGTCATAAGGAACTTATTTATGATTTTGCAGAGAACTATGAGCTGTTGTGGGTGACAGTGATAGCTGTCAAGAATATCTGAAAACGCCCTGTCTAGGAAGCAAGCTTGATATTTCAGTATTTTATGGCAAAATCCAAACAAATTGTGAATGTGTAAATAGAAAAATAGAAGCTTCTCTTACAAATTTCTTTCAGTTTTTCATTTTGCAAGCAGTGGTAATTCAACTAGATGTACAACATGAGCTGCTTTAGGAAGGGAAGTCCCCTTCAGTCGTTTCTTTTGAAATTGAGAATGGATAATAAACGTCTTTAAAGGTATGTCCAGATTTCAAGAGTTCAAGGTGGCATTGGTACACAGCCTCATCTGCTGTCAGGCTCCATTAATACTTCGCGTGATACAACTTAGAACAGGGATTTATATAGCTTTGCAAAAACAAACAAAAAAATCCAGCCAAACAGAAAAAACAACAGAACTGGACAAGTAGATAGAAGTGGCAGAGGCTGGACATTTCGGAAGAGACCAAGTTGTGGTGACAGAAGTTGAGATAATCAAGAATGTCTGACTTTGTTGGAAGACATCTGTCTCTAGAGATCAGATTGCAACTTAAGAATGCAATTTCAAGATTTCTCATCAAACGTACATGAAACCTGATGCTAATTATGTGTCTAGATCTGGGATGAATAAAGTTGTAGGCAGCGGCAGCCTGCTACTTCTGTTGATTTACACATCAAAAATGGCAGAAATCATTGCAGGTAATTGTAAGACTCAAAGTTTCCAGTCTGAAAATAGATTTTTTTTTTCTGTATTTTTAGAAAACTAATTGGGATAAAAATCTGCAGAAATTATGCAGAAAGCTATGTTTAAACATTTCAGAATTAAGCTGTTCTGTTAAACCTTTAATGAGTGATGTTTTATCTCTTCATGGGACTCTGCCTCCCTCAATAGACAGGGTGGACAGTGCACTTTCAGTGTGGCTTTTCAATATTTTTTTTTCCTGGTTCAGTCAGTGGCCTGTATGTTGTACTAGACACCATACAAATCATGTTTTTAAGACACTGATTTCTGGGAAATTTCTGTAGGATACACCTAGTATTAAAGCATCAGGTGAATTTTCAGAGTACCTAGTGGGATGAGGGTATATTATACATATTTTAGAGAATTGAACAGTTGAAATACAGGTGAGAATAGTGGACAGTTTTTCATGTTAATTTCTTTCAAATATCTAGGACTTCTAGCATTACGTTCAAAAATGATTGATTCAAAGTACACCCTGAAGAGACTTCAGTTTAAGAAATTAATGCTGTTAGTTTTGAAAAAGTAGTATGTTGGTCCCATGTTGAGAATCCAGAGAAAATGGAGTCAGTAATACTTTTGAAAAATTTGTTTTAAATTACTTGGAGTTGTCTAAACAGGAATCGAGACACAATTCTGTTCTTTGCATTATTGTCTGATCATCCCTGATCCATGATGACCCATACCGTTTCTGTGTCTACAGCTGAGTTTTTCTTTATATGCTTTTCTAGCTTCGATAACAAGTAAAGTAACAGTCCAGTATGTTCTTTCCACTGTTGAGCTCTAATGAATTTTACTCAGTTATAAGCAAAGGTCTCTCTTTGGTGTAAAATGAGATGTGGGAAATAACACAAGATGGAGTATTTAGCATCTGTACTGTTGTGCATACTTGTAACAGTGTAATTTAGGTTACATTTAGAATGCTTATCCTGGAATTCTGTAACTTCTGAAGGACCAATGTAGCTTTTAATAGGTTTTAATTCTGGTATAACTTATGTAGTGCTTTTCAGTCAGTATTTTTTTAAGTAAAACCACCTTTAGAATCTCCTTGCTAAATAAGAGGGCAGACAGGAAGACTAACAGAGAAGGTTGGTGTTCTGCCCAGTGAGCCAGAATCTTTGATGGTTCCACTCTACCTGTTGCACGTAGAAGCTATTCTTAAACTTGAATACTTCAGTTAGATATAATTTCACTTGATTTAATCTTAAATTTAGTTCCTGATTTCCACTTTTGTGCTTAATCATTTGATCGCTTTTCCACTGAAGTGTTTAAGTGATGGAAGGAGCTGAAAAGCCATCTTTAGCCTATGCTCATAACATGAAGGAAGAAATGTTTTATGCAACATGTCTAAAATTTAGGAGTTATTACATTGTTTCTCAGTTGTGTCAGTGTTGTGGTTGAGGTTACTGGAGTTGAATGCATTTCCTTTATACATACTTTGAAAACGAAACCAAGACTAAGTTGTGTATAATTCTGAAAAGGAGCAGTTAGATTCATCTGAAGGGAAGGAAAAAAAAATAAATCACTTTTGGGTTTTTGTTGCTGATTGGGCTCTTGGTGACTAATTTTTTAAATGGAGTCTTGTTTTAATTTTTTTTTTAATGTCCATGAGCCAGTTGCAACTTAAATTTCATTTCTGCATTGGTGTTCAAGAATGAGAACAGAAAAAGTTGGTGGGTCATGCACAAGATGTCATAGTCACTGAAGTCTTGCCAAAGAAGAAGAAATCCCAGTGAATGGTAATTCTTTTGAGCAATGACGAAAAATTCTGTCCTTGGGCAGTGATGATAAAAGGATGCCCCTTCCTATCTCTTTTCTTAGTGCTACTCAGATTTTTCAGAGGATTCTGATGCTTCTCTACTCATCAAAGCAAGCAGTGAGATGTTCTGTATGTTTAGGATGTGCTATTCATTGCATACTGGCTTCTCATAAAATCCATGAGTCTTGAGGAAAGCAGCTTTCACAGCTATGTGGTCATACTACTGAAACCAACTTTAAGAACACTGTGACAGGCTAGAAAAAAATTAGGCCCTAATGCCCAACTGGATAGACTTTCTTTCCTCTCCTCCTTCTATTTATAAATATAATACTTACGCTTTGAAGAAAGAGGATCTACAGCATTATCTGAGAAGTATGCATCCTAAATAAAGTCTGTGTTTATGAAGAAAAAAGTCTTGTGACTCACTTCATATTGGTCACAAAGTAGTGAGAATATGGTATCCTTTCTACATTTTTTTTAAACTATTAAGACCTACAGTCAGCTGCTCTCTATTTCTCTGAAAGCCCTGCCAGTCCTAAAAAGTGACGTGTAGTCTGTCAAGGTACACATTAGAACATACTAAACAACCAGGAGCACAGGATCTACCTGTATTTTGGCGTGATAGCAAGGGAAAAACGTGAACAGGAAGGAACTTGCTGTTCCATTTAGCTTGTCATTGTAAGATTCAAGTCATATTCAGTCCAAACCATGCAAGGTCATGCCAAAGCTCTTCTGTCCGTTCTTGGTAGGAAATAAGTTATATTTTTTTATACAATTAATTGATGTGTAGATTGTTGAACTAATTTTTTATATCATTTGTAAATGCATATTCTTGTATATATTTCTGTGTGTATATAAATCATCAGATATTTATTCTGTTTTAGAGGCACAACAAAAACACGGACATCGACTCCTCCTAGTGTGGCAAGAACCATGAGCACGGGTGCTCTAACAAACAAAAGAAAAACTAGCAATTCAGACAGTTACTCAAGGTAGCTTTTAACTTTGTGGATTTTGTCAGTAATAGAACCTTCGTTAAAGGGGAGTACTTATTACAAAAGAAGTTGAGGAAAATACTGTTCTCTGCAGTTAATAGATAACTCATGGTCAATATTATTTGGCATGTTTAAGATACTCGATACATTTCGCATATTTATCATCTAACCAAACACCTTTGTCATCAGCTGTCTCAGATGTGCACAGAAGACTATTAGAAATGTCAAAAACCTCTTAGGAGCTGTTGAAATAATAAGTGAATGGTCTTTCAAATGGGAACTGAGTGGTTCAGTTGAAATTGAATAAAATTTGCATGCTAAGCACACAAATTATCTGTTTTCTGCCCTTTTAAAGGGTAGGATAAAAATTGTATTGCTGTTTTAGCCTTTCTTGTTTTGACAAGCTAAGTTTCAAGTTTTCAAACACTCCAGTTAATCTAACTAGTGAATCAAATATTTGATCCCGCTCCTAAAATTTTGGCATTTTTTGTTTTCTTTCAGGGAAGGTGGGTATCTGGAGATAAGTAGGGGAGTCTGGGTAGAGTTACAAGGTATACTACTGTAAATAAATAGGAGGTATAAGCATGAAAATGACAGTAACAATAGCAGTAATTCACTGCAAGGATTAGAATAATTTTGCATCAAGTTATACTGAACTGAGTTACAGAAAATGTTCTTTATCTGGGGATTTTCAGGTCTGACGGTAAAATTGGGTATGACAGTGGAGACTACCCATCCTCAGTCAATGGAGGAAGTTCAAAAAGCAGTGAAGGAAATTCACCTGTACAGTTATCAAAGTTCTGCCATGAATGTGGAACAAGGTATCCAGTGGAATGGGCGAAGTTTTGCTGTGAGTGTGGAATTCGAAGAATGGTTGTGTGAACACATTCTTAAAAGCAAAAAGAAAATGAGAAATCATCGGAAGCGTCTGCTGTGTACTGCTGCATGGAAAGCTAGAGCACTCCTTCCAGTTAGACTTCATGCTGCAAATGTGTTGAAACATCATATTGTGATTTTCTGAGTGCAATCTTCTGGTTACACACTTATTTATAAACAAATATATATACTGTATATAAAAATAGCAGGTACCTAAAACTCTGCCATTCAAGGAAATACTCTTTAATCTCTGTTGGAAATATTTAAAATTAAGGTAAAAATGTGTTAAGTAGCTTAGGTAGCAGAAGTGGTTCAATGTTATTTTTCATGTAAATCCTACTAGATAAAGGATTATTTAAATCACTTATGTAGGATAATACTTGTCCATAGGGAACTAGCCATGAAGAACTTGGCCTTCAAAAGTTTCTCTGTGGAGGCATTTCCTTCATATGTGACAGTAAATTAGATGCTGTGTTCTAAGTGAAAACAACATGAGCAACTCCTTATAAATTCCTAGTTAAAAGTGCAAAAAATCTGGATCCTTTTAAACTCTTCAACGGTAGTATCCTAATTGGACTTTACAGTTACTTCCTAGGATTTTTTTAAAGAATCAAAGTGGAAGAACTACCTGAGAGTTCTGTTCACGTGTAAGAAAAGCAAGATTTTTGTTTGTGGCTTTCCATGTTCTGTTTTCCAATAAGAACGTGTTAATATTTTAATGTATTTATAAGGACAAATATAGTACTGTCATTTTATTAAGTTCTTTTTGTTCAGAAATACTTGTCTTCTTCCTCCTGTTCTCCACCATGACTAGCATATCTAAAAGTTTTGTGCTTTTTGTCTTTAAAGGTTTCCAAAGCTCCCGCTCCTTTTTTCTCTTCCCTCATTTCCTGAAGGAGAGACAAAGTCTATGCTTATCCTACCTAAATGTTGAACTCTTACTTTGAAAACAGCCTTTGTGATGTATCCACTACAAAAAAAGAGTTCCATAAAAATGTATGTTGTTAGAGCAGTAGAACTTGATGTAAGTAGTGACTGTTTTTTATTCTTACTCCTGTGCAAATAGCACAGCTTACATATACGTGCAGAATGGAGTAACTGTGCTCCATAGGTTTATATGTTAATACCTTTACACGTTTTTTTGCAATTTTGTGTATTTTTGGGCTCTGAACAGCAGCCTCTTGAAGTTAGTAACAGACTTTGCATTAATTGGTTGGGAAGAAGGGTCAGGCCCTGGAAGTTGTTGGGTTTTTTATAAATTACACAGGATATTAAAATCATTCACAAGCCGAATCACTTATATTGTATCTGAATGTAGTAATTTGTTTTGTGAAGTTTTGCTTTGAAGTACTGGCACCATCTTAGTTATGTGTGAAAGAACAATCTGAAAGAACTTAATTGTGCCTTTCCCACAATAAATACACTCTTTTTGTCAGAAATGCTTATTTTCAGCTCACAAACACCACTAGTATAAACTCATATAATTTGTTTGTAGCTTATGCAAAATATAATGTAATGTTCCAGATAGTTTTATGGGCACTGCATTCTCAAAACTTGTGATTACTATCAATGGGGCCAATTCTGAAGAAAGCATGATTGAAGAAAAGCATCTCCAAAGCAGCTACCAGTCTTGGAGGATGAGAGATTTAAGAGACTTGATGTATTCATGTTGCAGGCTACAAACTGTTGATGTTTTAGAATTAGTTCAATGGTCTGCAATTGTCTTACACTTTTTATACAAAATTATTTTTAGAAATTGTCCTTCATTCAGTGTAGTCTTGTTTTATTATAATTTGCGTAAGCTGGCTACTGAATGTGGTAGGATCGATGACTGGTAATGATAATTAGAACTGACAAATCTTAGCCAAATTATGTTCTAGGTAGTCTAGGTTCTAGGATCCATATTTTGGCACATTCATGTCTGTACTTGGAAAAATTGGAATCCTGCATCCTTTGCATAGATAAGCCTGCTTTAGAAAATTTGCCCTGGACTTGGGCCATGGAGGTCTGCAGACTGAATTATTGCAAACTGAGTGTCCCATCAGCAGAGATACAAGTCCAGAATAGATTTGATCAGTTAGTGAATCTACTGAGGAATCAATTTCTTTGTCTGACTTGATGAATTTCCAGTTCTTGTTTCTGCTGGAAAAATGCATTTTACCATTTAATGAAAATGCTTTCTACAAAGGGAAAATTTAGTAAGGAAATAAATATCATCCAGGTTTTCCAGGACTGCTGTAACTGTAGAAAAAACATATGACTGTTTCTCCTTTGAATTGTAGGTGGCAGGTTTCCTAGTTTCAAATCAATCCACATACAGTTACCATAATTTCTGCTTTTTGAGCTGTTTGTATAACTCGTTGCTTCCAATGCAGCATTTAGTAAATTACTCGAGTGACACATCATTTACTTTATTTACACTTCTATGATTTATAGCAAGGACTAGACAGGGGATTAACCTGAACTGAAAGAAGAATTTTAAAAAGATTTCCTGAACTTTTAATTTGGCCTTACAAGAAGGTCTAGTGAAACATAAGTGAGTGTTGATTGTAACACTGGGTAACGTGTGTTTGAATCTACAATAAATACAAGCAGACAATGAAAATATAACTGACTATGCAGTGTACTACTGTATGGTGAGACTATCGGAGGCCTAGTATGTTTCCACTTTATCAACTGGTTTTGTTACTGAATGACATAGGTTTCTAAAGTCTCTGATGTTACAGACTGTTGGCTGTATTACACAAGCTATCAGCACAGATCACTGTAATTCCATCTCAATGGAATGTTTGTTAGGAAATAGTAGATTTGTTTTCATAATGCCCCTCCAGAACTGAATACGGGAAACAAATTTGTTTAAAGAAAAAATAAACTGTTAAGGGAGATGGACTTTGAATTTTGAATCTTTAGGTACGTTGCATGTGTCAGGAAGTTCCTGAATTTAATTAATTAACGACCTAGGTCCAAACCCTCTTGCCCTAGCCCTCACCCCTGCCTTTATGCCTTGGTTTTCATGGGAGGAAAAAACATGGATACATATACTGAAAGGGGAGTGTTACAGAATGTCTCAAGAATCAAAATATTGATAATAGTGAAGATAAAACCCCTAGATGAACTATGCACCGCTGATGCACTTCACTGATCAGTCTAAACTTAGCTAGTGTCATCCTCTGGATGCCTTGTTGACAGATATTTAATTTAAAAGCCTAAATTCCTTTGAGTTCATGTGTAAAATTAGGATGGTATGATTATTCCATTTAGCATCTGTCTTTCCAGTTCTCTGTGTGCGTGTGTATATATATAGGGTGTGCACGTGAGCACACACATGTATTTTGTGAGAATTCATAAGTTATACAAATGTAAAAAGTTGTTTCACTGAAGCAGAGTGGATACAAAACAGGACTGAATGCTACTGGAGGATTGTGAAGCATCAGACAGTAGACTAATGTAGTTACTGTCCATTTAAAGTGAAACGTATTGATGTGATTGTTTTAATGATTTCTATGCCAACATCTGACCCTGTGACAGACTTTCTTTTGCTGTCTGCCACTGTATCTTCGTAATGTGCTTACTATGGTTCTTCTATTCAATTAAAAAAGAAAGAAAAAAAAAAAAGTCAAAGGTAAAATTCCATATAAAGAAACAAGGGGAAGGCTGGTTTTGAGGTCTGGCCTGAGGGTGTTTGCATTCCTGTTCTGCTTTTGTGAATATCTGTTACACAAGGGACATCTCTGTGCCAGAAAGGAGTGCAGGATCATTGGAACTATACTGATGTAAGTGCAATGGAGTTAGAAAAATATCAGCTTTGACAGTAAAAACAACATAGCGTAAGGCTTAATCTTTATATGATGTATCTTACACAGGTTTATATTTATGCATGATACTCACACCCTAGGTAGTTTCAGAGCTGGAATCTCTAAATATACAGCAACTTAAGTGTATGGTTATATGAATAATTATACCCTCGCACACACCGCTCCAGGGAAGTGGGCATAGGGAGGTGCTTTACCACCATTTCAGCTTGTACCTATGAAATGAACATTTAGGCAGAATTTTTTTAAATACACCAAAGACTTGAAGAGCCATTAAACTCCCCTGAGTGGATTTGAAAAGCTCAACCCGAAGGGTTCCTTGGCCGGGAAGGAGGCGGTGGTGTGTGGGGAGCTCTCCATGGTGCTCTGGACACTGAACCTGTTCTTGCTCGGCCGCAGGCAGCGGCTGCTCAAGCTCTTCCATGCGTGCTGCAGGTAGCGAGGTTCACAGGCTAGTTACTCCAAAATGTATTTTAAGACCTAACCCACTCTTCAAGTGTCATAGGAGTTCTCTGTCATCTGAGAGAGACTAGCTCCTAATTCACCATTGCAGCTGAGAGTTAGTGCTTGAAATGCGGTGTGCAAAGAGAACAGTTTCATGATGCGTGTTTATCAAATCAGCAGAAGGAGGTATGGCTGCAGTAGTTTAAACGCTAGTAAACAAGCAGTGCACGCTGATGTAGGCTGTGTAATTAGTCTGAGTAAAAAATGAAATGGTATTGTCTATGTCATGCAAAGTTCTTAAGAAGTGCTAATTTCCATCACATAGACTTTGTATATGTGCAAAGAACAAACTTGTTACAAGGTTGTTTTTTTTTTAATCCTGGCTGACAAATTTGTGTTTTGTGAGAGCGCTTTTTGCAACTTTAATTCTTTTCAGTTTGACAAAGCTAGGAATAATTATATGGGTTGTATGACAGGGTAGAATTTTCATCTTTGGTGAAATTGGTTTTGGTGACTCTGGTGAAAATAGTTTTATTGCCTTTCAAGTACAGCTCATTCCAACTTGTGATGTTTTGTTGGTTGGGTTTTTTTTTTTTTCTTTCCAACTCACTGAATAAGGTTTGAGTTACCTAATTGTGGTGTTGGAAGAAACGTTAGGTAAAAGATTCTCTAGCTGTATTCAGCGGTTACTTAGCTGATATTTTCTTTCCAATATTCACAATATAAGAAATTACTCTTGCATACTAGTTCGGTGGGTTTGGGTTTTTTTTTGTTACATCATTCCAGAATACGCATTTCTGGAGGATCCTACTTAGCCCCATTCCATTTCATGTTGCCAGGAACCAGCATATTCAGATTTTCTCTTAATTAGTGTTCCTTCTTTACAAAAATAATCAATAGGGAATTCATATTTCTCCAACGTGAACATTAGCTTTTGAGTCAGCAATCAAATATTCAGTTTAATATAGCTGAATATTGAACTTAAGTTCTAAACAGTAGTGCATGCTTTACCATAGTTCTGTATTTGTATTTGGATTTCTGGCAGAAGCATGAATGGATTTGGTTCTAATCTGTAAAGAGCTGAGTATTCTGCGACTGTTACAATACCTACTTTATATGATTGCTCTAACTCTTGGTGTTCATCCTTCATATGATACTTAGTATGTATCTTCATAAGTTTATTTATCGATGTCCCATGTTTTTAAATGAAGTGTTCATTCATGTGTTTGAGGTGATTAATTTTGTCAGCATTGCATTTATTATGTTTGCCTTGCCCCTCAGTACATTGAATATTTGTGTTTGACCATCCAGTGTTTTTTCTGCAGAATTCCTGGGTTTGTTTGCATCTGATTTGGTATATTATGTTTATTTTAAAGTGTCAGTTCTGTTTTAACTAATAAATGTAAATCACCACCTAATGCTAATTTGCCACTTGTTAACAATAAAGTAAATATGCCAATAAAACTTTTTGTGACGCACACATTTTTGTAGCCAAATGTGAAATTGTCTTAAATGGAATAGCATAGGGATAGGTAACATCATTTCAACCTTATGAATATTGTGATGTCTTTGGTCTCAAGTACACCAGCCCTGATGTGAGGACCATCCACTGTCTTCTCCTAGTGGTTGGGAGAGAACCACTTAGTTATTCTTTTCGAAGGATAGGGTTTTTTAATTGACTTGCGAGATGAGATTTGGATTCCTCAGTCACCTTGAAAAATACTCTGTACCAGATATTTAAATCAGTGTGATCTGCTTATATAGAGTTAACTCTGTATCTCTTCTTTTTCCCAACTATATGAGGAGTTTAGTTTATACAGAGCCTATCACTGTGATACCTGTAGTAAATCATTCTTTTTTCTTTTTATTCTTTTTTCTTTTTTAAAATAAGGCTGTAAGGTATAATATATAACCTAAGCTTGATCTGGGTTTGTTCTCCTTCATGAGATTAGAACGCTGTTTTGTTGATGAAATGATTAAGCAGGAAAAAAAGCAGAAGTTGTATTTTTCCTGTAAAGTTCACTTACGTGAGCAGAAATCGTAATGAGGGTTTGGGTTCCTGATTTTTTTTGACTAAATACGGATGAGTATAGTTCAATTCCTCTCCTCTTTCCTCTTTTTAGGGGAAAGTTCCTCCTGCTGGGCTCTTTTGTTTACTTCACCACACCCTTTTCAGAGGAAGGCAGACATGTTTTCCCTTCATTCTGAATGAAATTCATTTATGTGCCAAGAGTCTGCAAAATCTTGTCACCGCTGAGATTGCGTGATATTTCTCATGCTGGCCTCCTCTTTATTCTAGTTCACCATGAACCATTCCAATTAGATAGCAGGAGAAAAACAACAACAACAACAAAAACCCAGCAAAAACCTAAGTAGCTGCTGAATGAAACCTATCACAAAGCCGACATCTCTTTTGCTCAGCACAAAGCTGAAGAGGCAGAACTGGAAGGAAACATACAACCAGCCAGGAGGGGTTTACTCCTGCATCTTTAGCTGAAGAACTACAACTGTAAATGCTTGTTTTATGGTGTAAAGTGAGACTGGAACATTCTCTTCCAGTGGCTTTCCTTGGTCTGGCTTCTTAAACACCAGAAATTCTTCCTTCTCAATATAAACCACAGAGTACCTAACTCATTCTTGCTGTTAGAAATGTGCAACATTATCCTGCTCACAGGGGTTAGTCACCCTGTTCTGCTTTCTCATAATCCCTTGCAACATCGGTGCTAAAATTCTTTTTAGTAATTTAAATACCTAAGTTTCCCTTGACACCTTCCCATAAATTCCATGTCTTTCCAAATCATGGTTTCGACCTACTCATATTCCTTCTTTGCTGTGGCCAAATAAATAAATACATAAATGAAAGTGGCAGGGAGGTAGGTGTGGCGGTGATACCCTGCAAGGTTTTCATCCCTTCGCCCGTTCCTGCAGAGCAGTTTGTTGTTGTCACATTTGTAATTTCAGGAGAGACCAGAGGAGGTTCTCAAATGAAAGGAACAAATCAAAGAGCATAAGTCACTGTATTTAGCAGTTAGTCTTTGCATGTAAGTGGTGACTCAGGAAATTTGGCAACAAGAATCAAGCAGGCAGGATATTATTAAAAGAAGCAACCAGAAAAACCCCACAATTTCATAATCACTCAATTTAAATTTCTGCTCTGGATCTAACCTTGGTCTTTTCCCCAGGACAGGCCTGAAACTGCTTGATTTGCCTCAAGATTTAAGTTGTGCGCTGCTGCTGAAGTCCAGCTACTTCCAGTTTTGTAGTAGCTAATATTGCATCTGTGTGTTTTTCTTCTAATTCCCACTGACCTTTCCTTGCCAAGTGGTTATTAGGACGTAAGTCTTGGCTTTCAACTGTTCCTGAATTTCCAAAAAGAAAGCAACTGTTCTTCAGTCTCCTGGGATTTCTTTCAGTAGAAGGGATTTCCAGAGAAGTCCTTAAAATAGTGGTCATATTCTCTTTTCTGCAGTACGATATTGGGAAATCTGTTTCCCTTTCCTATTATGTAAGAGTTACGAGTTGGGTTTGGTTGGGTTTTTTTCAGTGTTTGGATTTAAAGTTGCAATCTCTTACATCAAGAGCTAAAGAGAATATGTGAAAGCCTTAGTCACAGTTTTACAGGCACTACTCCTACCCCAAGAAGTCTCTTCTCCATAAATAGGTAGGGGGTTGGAGGGGGTGTATTCCAGGAAAGCATAACAGTATGTTTGCTTCGCTCTTACCCTCTTCCCTCACCGTTAGCAGTAGGGCACACCGGGTTTCATGGATTCTGTGCAGCAGATCTTATTCCAGTCAAAGGAGATCTGTACAGTTCTTTGAAGCACATCCCACCATTTTTTCAGGTCTTTGTTCTGAACACCAGAAATTTTTCAGAGTAGTTCCACGGAAAATTTCTTTTAGCACAGGTAAAACAATATATGTTACCTTACTCTGAACCAGGAAACAACAGGCTGACTTAACTAAAGATTTCCCAAACTATTTAGTCCAAGGCAGGTACCTGGTATGGAAATGTTTGCCTAAACTGGCCGGGTTACAAGCAACCAAGAAATAGGTATTTTATAGTGGGGAAGTCCCAAGCAGCTGGAGTTTACATTACCAGCTGTGCTTTTAATGACTAGCTGTGGAAAAAAAGCTAAAAAAGGAGTAATGACGCCCAAAAAGTCAACAGCCCGATTCCATAGAAGACAAATATTTTATTATCAAAGGAGTTATAATATCAAAGTAAGAAACTGCGAGAGTTATAAACAACTATAAAAATACTTCTATTTATCCAAAATTAAATATGAACACTTTATTAGTTAAATGCCAATATATTATTCTCTGAAAATATTCACACATTTTAAGTCATGTTTGCCTAACATGTTAAACACGTTACATAAAATAATTGCATATAAGAAATCACAATCTGAAGGTAAGAAAATCTAGCTCCTCCTGCAGCTAACTCTAACCAAATACATAAGGCTAGGGGGCGAGTGCCGTTTCCAGTCAGCTGAACAAACCTACATTCAAGGCATCTCCTTTTTCGCCTTCCATAGGTCTCGCTGTCTTGCCTCTACTTCAGCCAGTAGAAGTGTGCTACATCTCTCAAAAATCAGTACCTTTCCTAAGTTTCTCAGAAAGTTAACCTTCTCACTATTTTTCCAAACCTAAATCAGTTTGCAAACCCATTAGATACCCACGCTGAAAACATCACTGCATCAGCAGAACAGACCCAAGATCAGCTGCTGCTTTGCTACATTGTTCCTTTTTGTCCTTGATGCGTTTTATATAGCTATAAAGAAACCAGCTACTTTTCCATACTGTTTTCTTCACCTGCAGCTTGTAAGATGTTTTTATAAATTGCAGTAGACATGTAAGTAGATTACTTTTATATGACGGTATTATAAAGTTACTCGAAAGATCAGAAAATTCAAAGTAGTTTCCAGAGCACGAAGGTGGGACCCAGCCTTCTGCAGAGTTCTTTGTTTCAAATGCTGGTCTTTTATTTCTACTTCTTGGACTTCAGCAGCTTGGTTTAGCCGTTTCTGTTTATTCCGTCTCCAGGAACAAGGTACAGTAGCTTTCCATCAGAATTCCGGCATAAAGTGTTCATATAAATGAGCACAGTTACTCAAAGAATGCATATAAAATGCAAAGATACCAAGTAATGCCACTTCGAAAGAAAAGAGCAGGATTCACCTGGAATCACCTGGAAATTATTTTCTCAAATTTATTCCAGCAGGATCGAAGGCTAGATACATTTTCTTTCAGTTCACAAAATTCTTGGTTACATTTCTTTTTGGACTGTTCAACTGTTTCTGTATCTTCTTTATTATGTGTATTTACCTGCGTGCAAACCTGAAAAAGAATAGTTTGTATTGTTAATTGAGAAGTGCTCATTCTTTTCATATAAACATCTTTTAAAACAAACTGATTCCATTACATCTCAGTAAATAACGGAGATACCTTACATGGTTATTAAGCCAGAAAGCTGGCCTACTCACAAAACGTGTCATGGCAGTACACAGCCTGCATCACTCTGATGTTCTTACTCTGAGCACAGCCCTGCTGCCGCCCTTGCCCACCGGGCTGGGAGAATGTGGCTTTAACGCATATAACGCATATAACGCATATAACACATATAACAGCAAATATGGACAGCTGAAACCAGTGTGTGCAACTGACAACATGTATGTTCTCTGTCAGTGGTTTAAAATTTTGTCCTGGTTTCGGCTGGGATAGAGTTAATTTTCTTCCTAGTAGCTGGTACAG